CTCGGAAACCCAAGGTGGGGTCGCTATGAGTCGGGTCCAACTCGACGGCACATAGCAGCAACAATTGCTTTAATATCACTTACTATGTTACACATCTCGATTACAAAAATACCATCACTTATATTTTGGGTTAAGTGAATAGAAAGATGTGCTACTGGGATTGTGACTTCAATAAGAATTGCTTTATAATGTTACAGTTGGAATAGAGGACTCACAGCTGGGTTTCATTTTACACTTCTACCTTTGTATGCTCAATACTTAAGAACCAATGTTAAGAAAAATAGTAGCAGAGGATGTTTTTAGTGAGGAGGAATAAAAACATTCTACACTAGGTAGCTTTGGTTTTGAAAAGTAATGCCTTCTAAGAAAAAGAGAAATTAGTCCTAAGTCTGAAAACAGAAATTACTTTAAAAACTCGTGAAAATAATTTATCTTTTAAAGGTACTTTTGTCAAACATTTCAGAAAGCATATTTGGGCAATGAGAAGTTTAACTGACTGTACATGGCAATAATGGCCAATATTCAAATTTCAATCTCCATTCCTGTGTTAGGACTACAAGGGATAAGAATCTCAGAGGCTGCAGAAAGAGAAGATAATGCATAGTCCCTGTTTTCAAGCTTAAAGTTGAGACATAACAGTGAATTGTGTTGACACAGCAGTAAATATTAAACAGGAATTTAATTATAAATACTGAAGATTTTAAAAGCTATTTTAATATGTTGTACAAGTTCATTTGTAAGTTGTTAGGGTTGACATTAATGATTTTAATTGGTAGGTTTGCTCAATATTTATATAAGATATCACTAAGTTCGATGACCAGTACATACACATCAGTGTTAAACTTTTACTATGGTAATGAACTTTTATCATTGATAAATGCTTCTTCCAACATGGCCAGACTTCATCTTTGATACTTTGGTCATGTTATCAGGAGAGAATGGTACCTGGAGAAGGATATGCTTGGTTCAGAGTCAGTGAAAAAGGGGAAGACTCTTCAATGAGATGGATTGACCACAATGGCTGCAGTGATGGGCTCAAGCTGGCAACAATTTTAAGGATGGCACAAGACCAGGCAATTTTGTTCTGTTTTATGTAGGGTTGCTATGAGTTGAAACTGACAAAAACAACAACATTCTCTATCAAATTCTGGTATATGGATTAAGTGTGTGTGCTTGCATATGTGCCTGTGTATATAAAATCAGCAGTAATTAAATACATATTTTATTTAGATCACACTATTCTCACTTTTCCACCAGTTTGTCATACTGTGGTGGCTTGCGTGTTGCTGTGAGGGTGGAGGCTATGCCATAGGTATTTCAAATACCAGCAGGGTCACCCATGGTGGACAGGTTTCAGCAGAGCTTCCAGACTAGGAGGAAGGACGAAGTCATGCACTTCTGAAAAAATTGGCCAGTGAAAACTTTACAAGTTAGGTACCTATCAACAGTAATCACTAACAACATTCTAACTTAAAACAGTGGAAGCTTTTTGCAATAAGAATACCAAAATCCAAATGCACTGCTGCAGAGTTGGATCTGACTCATAGTGATCCCTCCTTGGGTTTCCAAGGCGGCATTACTACGGAAGTAGATTGACCAACCTTCCTTCTGAGGAGTGACTAGTGGGTTTGAACTGCCAGCCTTCTGGTTAGCAGTCAGATGCCATAGGCACTATGTGACTTCAATTTATAGCAGGAAAGGTGAACCCACACTGGTAGAAGAAGTCTTAGTCTTGACCCCTGAGGTTGCTCCACAGAATAGTCTTAAGATCTGAGGAATAGCTTGAAAACTCATGGTTTAGATTATATGAACAGTGAATCCATAAATACAGATTTTTAGGGTATTTTTGTTCTGTTTTTTAACTTTCCCCTCGATATTATGCATTCAGTTTTTAGATTAAACACTACTGGAAGGACTAGCTCTCGGTGTCATCTGTTCTCTAGAAAAAGGGGAATGCGGCAGCACATAAGTCACTCCTTACTCCTGTATCTTTAGTTGAAGAATTATTTATTTTAAACAACTCATTTCTGTGTTAAAATAGTAGTTGGTAGCTACAGGTTGCTTTTTTAACTTAACAAATGGATAAGAAAATAAATTGGTGAATGTCTGTATATAGCATATGTTGTCTAAGTATATGCTTGTGTGTTTAAACACACATTTTAAAATTACGTACCAGTCCATTTTGAAGGATGCTGTCTTCCAGAAGCTAGAGGAAAGATTATCTTCTACCTTGCAGAGAGGCAAGAAGAAAAGGAGCTGCAGTTTGACACTGCTCTAATGTTACCTGCCATTAAGTTGACCCCCAAGTCATGGTAACCCCATACACAACTAAATGAAATGCTGCCCTATCTGTGCCATCCCCATGTTGGGTTAGGAATCACAGTTATGACCCATAGGGTTTTCATTGGCTAATTTCCCTAAGTAGATAGCCAGGTTTTCCTAGTCTTAGTCTGGAAACTGCTGAAACCTGTTCAACATCATCATAACCAAACCGAACCAAACTCATTGCCCTCAAGTCGGATCCGACTCATGGTGAGCCCTCCTTGGGTTTCCAAGGTGATTATCACTAAGGAAATAGATTGTCCAATCTTCCTTTCAGGGAGTGGCTGGTGGGTTTGAACCTCCATCCTTTTAGTTAGCAGTCAGATGCCTTAGGCACTACGCTACCAAAGTTCAACATAATAGGAACATGCAAACCTGCATTCCAAGGGTGGTGGCTACACAGGAGAGGTAAACTGGCCAGGAACCAATTGCGGGCTTTCTTAAAAATCAACACTATTTTGCTTAGCACATTTTGGCCTTTAAGTCGAGGGGTGACCCTACTGTGAGGCTCTGTATCATTCCAGTTTGTTTCCTTCTGCCAGAAACAAAAAACAGAAAGCTATATAGTTCACGTAGATTTGGCAGTATTTTTTTTTTTTTTTTTTAACGAGAAGGCACCCACTGCTGCTATTTGGGCTTTTAAAATCTTACACAGGATACATGTTAACTCTAGTAATGAAGTTATTGTACTGCCAGTGACCATCCCCCTTAAAAAAATTCCCCTTAAATCAGGAACAGGTGGTTCTTTACCCTTAAAGATCATTGATCTTGTGAGTAATGGAAGATAAAATATTTAAGAAAACTCAGTTTGCAAGCAGGGTTGAGCCCACCACCTGGAAACAGATGGCCCTATTAAATCTTTGTAAGACATAATTAATGAACTATGACTGGTACCTGAAGGATGTTGACTAAAACACAGGGTCAGCCAAAAACACACGTTCTCCAAATCCAGAAGGACCCTCAGCTTTCAGCAACATGTTGATTGGGGGGCAGGATAAACCATAATAATCCCTAACGGACCCAACTGGGATGCACGTAGGAAGGTTGTTGTTATTGTTACGTGCCATCAAGTTGGACCCGACTCATAGCGACCCCTCCTTGGGTTTCCGAGGCAGTATCACTACAGAAGTAGATTGTCCAACCTTTCATCCGAAGAGTGGTTGGTGGGTATGAACCTCCAGCCTTCCGGTTAGCAGTCAAGTGCCTTAGGCACCACGCTACCAGGGCTCCTATGTAGGGAGGTAGGCCCCACTTAATGATTACAAAAACCACCCACCAAGCTTAATGTCAACGAAATGACATGATTAGTTTAGATGAAAGAGGATGGAAAGGCACACGCTTAAGACTGACAAGGCGATTGCTTCCTAAAGAACGTCCTGCCCCCACCCAGGGCAGCATAGTCTCTCCTGGGCTTCCACTGCCACCTTTGAAAGGCTCTACGCCAGCAAGCGCAAGCCTTCCCAATTCCGCGTGTGAAAGGAGGGACTTTGCTACCTCTTGCCTCATCCCCTGTGCGACGGAATACGTCATTGGCTTAAAGGGGAAGGTCAATTGAGGTTGGAGGCAGACAGGCGCGCACGCACTTTACGCGCAGATGTCGATGACGCATGCGCTTGGCGACTTTGGCCGAGAGGTGCGTGCGGTTGTCAGCGAGGCCAGAGTGCGGAGATCCTACCGGTCTTCGGTATGTTGGTCCGCCTTGGCAGCCGGTGGTTGCGGCCGCTGCCTGCCCTGAAGCGCGGGGCCTGCCACCCGCCGCTTGCGCCAACCCCAAAGGGCGGTGCCGAGCCCCCTGCTCTGCCAGTGTGGGTGGGGGCTTCAGTCTCTGTGCTTGGCTCTGGAAGCGGCGGCGGCGGCTGGTACGAGACTCTGGCTGCATCTGCGCCAGTGCGGGGCGCAGAGGAAGTGCTACTTAGCGTGCATGCCGCCACGGGCCTGCCCTGGTGGGGCAGCATCCTCCTCACCACCGTGGCCATGCGCGGCGTAGTTACGCTGCCGTTGGCGGTCTACCAGCACTACATCCTAGCCAAGGTGAGGGGCGCCGAGTAGTGCGTGTACTCTGCGCGACTGCTCCCAATTTTGGGGTCGTGGCTGACGTCTGGAGTGCGTAGTGTTCCGCTTGACCACTTGACTTAATCGCCAAGAAATTTAAACAGTAGTGAATGTATTAAGTAGGTATGTTTGGTGATACATGTACCTTTTCATTTTGTTTATCCTGTACTGCGCAGTCTGTTTCCGTAAAGATTTACCTCCTCGGAAACCCCGTGGGAGTGGCTCTGAGTCGGAATCAACTCGATGGCTGTGGCTTTGGTTTTTTGGTTTACTGGGTTTGTGGTCAAAGCCCAAGTCATTACTAAATTTTACCTACATAATGAAAGAAGTGAAGGAATCAATAGCAGAAGAAATGGTATAAGACCAAAAAACCAAACTCACTGTCATCGAGTGGAATCCGACTCATTGCACCCCTCCTTGGGTTTCTGAGGTGGTGTCTCTAGGGAAGTAGATTTCCCAGTCTTCCTTCCCTGGAGTGGCTGGTGGGTTTGAACTGCCAGCCTTCTTGTTAGCAGTCAGATGCCTTAGGGACTACGCCTATAAAATTAACTTTTTAAAATCCTGTGTGTCTTTACCATCATCATTCATTGCCAAGGATTCCAACTAATCTTTATCATTAGAAAACAACGATAAAGTTAGCAATTTGCAAACTTGCTCCTTATCCACGCTCAACCAACAGGCTTGTCTGGTTCAGTCACTTGACCTTTTATTTATTTATTTATTTGTGATTTGGGTGAAAGTTTGCAAAGCAGATTTATTTCCCATACAACAGTTGATAAATATTTTGTTTCATGACAGTGACAGCAATTCCCATACTGTAACAGTTGTCTGCAACTTGCTCCCTGTGGTTACCTTTTCCCTGTTCCTTTTTTATGCATTCCTGCCCTCTGAGCTATCTCATTGTGCAAATACTGCCCTTCTGGTCTGGCATGGTTGATTGTTCCAAGGAGTGTACCTATCTGGTATAAGTTTTCACCTTATTTGCCTCTCTGTTTTGTTGGAAGGCACAGGAGTTCAGTTCCAGGCCTGAAGGGTCTCTAGAGGCCATAGTCTTGGGGTTTCACCAGTCTCTATCAGACCAGTAAGCCTGGCCTTTTGTATGAATTTGAGTTTTGTTGTGCATTTTATCCTCACTTCATCCAGCATGTTGTATTTGGATCCCCTTTGGAGTGGTTGGCAGTAGTAGCTGAGGTCATGTAGTTTTGGTCTCAGGGTCATGTATGCTGAGGTTCACATAGTCCACTGTGTTCACACATGTTTCTATTCATCTTTGGTTTTCTTCATTCTTCTTTGCTCCGGACGAGGAGAGACCAATTATTGCATCTTAGATGACCGCTTTCAAGCTTTTAAGACCTCAGTTGTGACTTACCAAAGTAGGATGTAGAACAGTGATTTTGTGTAGTGTGTTGTGCCAGTTGAACTTAATGTCCCTGTGACCATGGTCCCAAGCTCACGGGCCTAGCAGTCCCGTGGCCTTTTTCAGCTTTGTTAAATTTTCTGTAGAAAAGAATTGCCTGCATCACAACGTTATATCAAATCTGAGAATGTGGCTTAAAGTGCTTTGAAAGCAAGAAAGCATTATTCAAATGTGAGACTTCAAAATAATAAAATCTTTCATGTTTTAAGATTATTATTATTGGGGTAAGAAGCTGGAAACAAAACAGGAAGAGAACTATCGATACCATTAAGACAGCTACTCTGGAAAACAAAATTAACAGAGATCAGAAATAAAGGCAATTTTTATTTCTGATCTTGTGGCTGTTGCTCAGTTTATTGTTGTTAGCTACCATTGAATTAAATGTGTTTTATTGATTGTGCAAAGGCATTTGACTGTGTGGATCATAACAAATTATGGATAACTTAGTGAAGAATGGAAATTCCAGAACACTTAATTGTTCTCATTAGGAACCTGTACATAGACTAAGAGGCTGTCTTTCATACAGAACAAGTGGCTACTGCATGATTTAAAATCAAGAAGTGTGTGTGTCAATGTTGTTTCCTTTCATCATAACTTACTCGATCTGTGTGCTGAGCAAGTAATCCTAGAAGCTGGACTGTTATGAAGAATGGGGCATCAGGATTGGTGGAAAACGCATTAACAGCTTGCAGTATACAGATGATACAACCTTGCTTGATGAAAGTGAAGATGATTTGAAGTAATTACTGAAGAAGATCAAAGACTGCAGTCTTCAGTATGGATTACACCTCCACATAAAGAAAACAAAAATCCTTCCAACTGGACCAATAAGCAGCATCACAATAAATGGAGAAAAGATGGAAGTTGTCTGGGATATCATTTTACCTGGTTTCACAATCAATACCCATGGAAGCAGCAGTCAAGAAATCAGATGTCGTATTGCACTGAGCAATTCTGTTGCAGAAGACCTCTTTAAAGTGTTAAAGAGCAAAGCTGTTTTAACACTAAGCTGTCTGAAGACTAAGGTGCACCTAACTCACGCCATGGTATTTTCAACCACCTCATATGCCTGTGAAAGCTGGACAATGAATAAGGAAGATCAAAAAAGAGTTGATGCCTTTGAATATTGTGGTGGTGGCAAAGAATACTGAAAATACCATGGACTGCCAGAAGAAGGAACAAATCTGTCCTGGAAGAGGTGCAGCTGGAGCGCTCCTTAGAAGTGAGAATGGCCAGACTTGTCTCACCTACTTTGGTCATTTAGTCAGAAGAGACCATTACCTGAAAAAGGATATCATGCTTGATAAAGCAGTGAAAAAGAGGAAGACCTTCAAACATATGGATTACACAGCGGGTGCAATGATGGGCTCAAGCATAATAAGCATTGTGAGGGTGGCACAGCACTGGGTAGTATTTCTTTCTTTTGTGCATAGATAGGGTTGCTGTGAGTTGGACACCACTTGACAGCACCTAATAACAGCACCATTGAGTTGCCCCCAGGATCCTCTGTGCTATGGGACCGACCGTTGTGAACCAGTGTTTCCATTGGGAGATTTTCAGAAGTAGATTGTCAGGCCTTTCTTCCTAAGTCTTTCTTAATATGGAAGCTCCACTGACATCTGCTCAACATTGTGTTGTTTATTGCTGTAGTCAATTCCGACTCATGGTCAGTCCATGTGTACAGAGTAGAGCTATTCCTTAAAGTATTCAAGGCTGTGACCTTTTAGAAACATCTCCAGGCCTGTCTTCCCAGGCATTTCTGGGTGGGTTCGAACTGCCAACCTTTCGGGTAATAGTTGGGCACTTAATTGTTTGTGCCACCCATGACTCCTCAGTATCATAGAAAGCCTCCACTGACAAGGGACATGTTTGCTGTGCTTCGGTTGTATTGGCTGGGAATTTTACCCTGGTCTCCTGCAAAGGAGAATTCTACTACTGAACCACTGCTGCACTCTCCACACAGTGTATTAGAGACTCTTAATCAAAAGAGGAACTCTGGTAGCATAGTGCCTAAGGCACTTGACTGCTAACCAGAAGGCTGGTGGTTCAAACCCACCAGCCACTCCTCGGAAGGAAGGTTGGGCAATCCTACTTCTGTAGTGATAACTGCCTCGGAAACCCAAGGAGGGGTCGCTAGGAGTCGGGGCTGACTCGATGGCAAATAACAACAACAACAACATTTGCTATTTACTTAGTTCACTGGGAAATCTAGAGATGAAACAATAACACAGAGTGTAATTCTCACTTAATCCTTATAGTAACCTTGTGAAGTAGATACTGTGTTATACATTTTACATGTGAGGGAACAGTATTTTAGAGGTTGACTAATTTGCTTGGGAGTACACAGCTAAGTGTATAAGCTGGATTTGAATTTTGTTGTGACAAAGACATCTTAAAGGAGCTCTGGTGGTGTGGTGGGTAAGGCATTTGGCTGCTAACCAAAAGGTTGGCAATTTGAACCCACCAGACATTCCTTGGAAGAAAGAGGGGGAAATCTGCTTCCATAAAGATTTACAGCCTTGCAAACACAGTGGGGTCGCTATGAGTCATAATTGACTTGATGGCAGTGAGTTTTTGGAAGGATATTTTAAGCAGATTAACATGCTTAGATTTAAGGTTTCTTAAGATAATAAGTAAACCACATTTTTAAATGAGTTGAGAGAATAAAGAGTAAAAGAAACTATGAATAGTTAGTTTAAAAAAAAAAAAACACCTTTATGTACTTATAAATAACTTTTGTGTTTCTTTAGCTAGGTGGAAAATTTGCAGCCAGAAATAAAAAATATTGCCAGGCATCTTAACCAAGAAGTTGCAGTTCATGCAAATCAGTTGGGATGGTCCAAAAGAGTTGCCAGGTAAGGTAATTCTATGCATTTAAGGCCATGAATATATATAATGATAAAGTTAATTATAGGTCTGGACATTTTATAACCTTGGTAACAAAGTATTACTTTTATTCTTTCACATTTTAGTAAGTTTGTATAGTTTTACATAGTTTATAAGGAGCTCTGGTGGCTAGTGCCTGAGGCATTTGACTGCTAACCAGAAGGTTGGTGGTTCCAGTCCGTGGAAGGAAGACTGGGCAATCTACTTGAATAAAGATTTACTACCTCATAAATTTGAAGGGGATTGCTAAGAGTTGAAATCTACTCAATGGCAGTAAGTTTTTTGGTTTGTTTTTTTTTTTACTAGTTTTATAGACTTGGGCAAAGGAATGGGGAACAAAGATAAGAACAGCATGTTCTCTGTACTTGAGTGACTCCAGCCCATAGAAGAAGGTAGGCCTGTAATCATACAGTGATGACAGTGAATTAAGTGCTGTGTAGGCTTTATGTGCATGAAGGTAGGCCATCAAGGAAAGTCAGGAGAGTCTTTACACCATGAAGATACTTTGCCAGTCTGTTGAGGTAGAGATCAACAAATGATGCAAGTTATTTACAAATTTGACCTGTTTTGAAAAGCTGCAGCAGAAAATGGCTCATAGATAGGGGGAGGCAGAGACGATAGAACCATGTGGACATCCACCATGGTTACTCTATGCAGCTGTCCACCTGTGCTCTTAGAAAGCTCTCTGCAAAGGGTACTTTGCCATGCTGCAGTTTTCTGCCTATGGTTGCCTACTGGAAACTTATCAAGTCTCCTGGTTCAACCGGGTTATTACTTGGTAAGATTTCCAAATTCTGATTTTTGCTTGATTGTGACAAAATATTCACCAGTTTACAGTAATCAGAAATATAAGGTCTTTGTAGTACAGGTATGTATACTTTGTGGTATAACTTTGGTATAACCACTGTGCATGTGCGCACGCGCACACACACACACAGGTAATTTCCCATTTATGATGGGTCTCCATTCTGATGACTCCATCAGAAGTAGATTCTAATGTAAGTCAAATACCTTTTTCTTTTAGTTTTATCTTCTTACTGCCTTTCATTAACAGAATCTTTGTAAATCCAGTCTTTGAACATCTTTGAGTGAACATCTGAGAGTAACATCAACACATTACATACTGCAACACTGTATGTGGTACATATTACTAAGGATGTTGTTGTTGTTGTTGTTGTTGTTATGTGCCGTCGAGTCAGCCCCGACTCATAGCGACCCCTTCTTGGGTTTCTGAGGCAGTATCACTACGGAAGTAGATTGCCCCATCTTCCTTCCAAGGAGTGGCTGGTGGGTTTGAACTGCTAGCCTTCTGGTTAGCAGTCAAGTGCCTTAGCCACTATGCTACCAGAGCTCCTTTACTAAGGATAAGATGTATAAAACAAAAACAGAAGGGTGTAAGTGTATCACTGTAACTCAAATGCATCATAAGTTGGGGACTGCCTGTGTATGATTATCCGTTTATTTTTATCTACATAGATAGAAATTTGCCACTTACCTTTTAGATGAGATCATGTCCATTTCAATTTAGTGTTTAAAAGACCTGACATTTTTATAATCATTCTGTTAGCTTTATGTCTTTACTTGATAAAAAGTTGGTAAACCTATAGTTTTGTAATTATGCTTATTAGAGAAATCTGAGAACTACTGACCTAGGCCAACAGAACAAATTAATAGCTGGTCACCTGGGTTATAACCCTGCTTAGGAGCTCTGGTGGTGTAATGTCTAAGGGATTTGACTGCTAACCAGAAGCTTGGCAGTTCAAACCCACCAGCCACTCCTCAGAAGGAAGATTGGGCAATCTGCTTCTGTAGGAATACCACCTTAGAAACCCAAGGAGGGGTCGCTATGAGTCGAATCGCCTCGACAGCAGTGAGTTTGGTTTTTTTGTTTGTTTGTTTTCTTCCTTTTAGAGAAGACTTTTGACACTTCGTTTATGCAGCACTAATGGGATGATTGTCAAGACACATCTGAGGGCTTCCTACATTTTCTTTTTACTCTTAAGTCATTTCTTTGTTGTTGAGAATATATACAACAAAAACATATACCAAATTTCCACATGCTGCACAATTCAGTGACATTGATTACATTCTTTGAGTTTTGCAGCCATTCTCACCTTCCTTTTTCTGAGTTATTCCTGCCCCATTAACATAAACTCACTGCCCCCTGAGGTTCCTGTCTATTTTTTAGAGTTGTTGTAGTCAGCTTGATCCCTTATAGATAGCTCTTAAAAGAACATAATGCTTAAGGCAGACATTTTTCACTAGTTAAGCTAAACTATTGGTTTAGGAACTCTGGTGTTACAGTAAAGCATTTTGCTGCTTACCCAAAGGTAAGTGATTTGAATCCATAAGCTGCTCTGTGGGAGAAAGATGAGGCAGTCTGCTTCCATGAAGATTTATAGCCTTGGAAACCTATGGGGCAATTCTGCTCTGTCCTGTAGGGTCATTATGAGTCACAATCAACGTGATGGCAGTGGGCTTTTTTGGAATTACTTGGTTTTAAGAAGACTATAGGAAATATTTTTGGTTCAAGTTTGAAAGATTATCTTGTGGGGAAAAATATTGGGGGTTTGTCCAGCCTCTGTGACACCAGAAAGTCTGGATTCCATGAGAATTTGAAATTCTGTTCTGCATTTCCCTCCTTGTGATCAGGGTTCTCCTATAGAATCTTTGATTAAAATGTTCAATAATGGTAGCTAGGCACCATCCAGTTCTTCTGGTCTCATGGCAAAGGAAGCAGTTGTTCATGGAGGCAATTAGCTACCCATTCCATTTTCTCCTCCTATTCCTGTTTTTTCAGTAAAATTAAGTTGGGAGGAGTGAAAGGGAGTTTATCAGGTAGACAGTCAAGAAAGTGGGCTTCTCATGCAGATAATATTTCCAGCCATACTGATGTGGAATTCTGGTTTGTTGAAGGACCTAATATAACTCAGGAACCAGAGTACACTCACTCCTCACTTATGAGTAGTCAGTTAGTAGATTTTTCACTGTTGTCATAAATGTGAAATGTCAGATAATGAGAGAGTCTGTAAGTGAGGAGTAAGATGTATACATATAAGAGATAAAGATGGAAGAATAGGAAAAGGCTAAATTACAGAAGGCCTAGTTACTTGTGTGTACTGTCTTACTTTAGTACAATGTTATTTGATGAAATTCAAAAAATCTTTTCAGTGCCTCCCATGTACAAAATATATGATACTGGAAACTTAAAAGATGAATAAGACCCAGCACTTTTGCCTCAAGGAGACTATAGTCTAGAAAGCAGAACTTCATAAAAGAACAGAAGTAACCAATACGGCAAACAGAAATAAATAAATCAATCTTTGTGAGAGAGTTGATTGAAGGGAAATGATTTTGACGAGGCAAGAGCATATGCAGTACAAAAGCATATAGCTAGAAAAGGTGTATTCAGAAATCAAGTAATCAATGTGGTTGGAGTTTAGGGATTAGAATAAAAGGTGTTTTCAGCTTTAGTATTTCTCATACCAGTTGTGGTCATAGCATATCAGTAGTGAAGTTTCCATTGTTAAAGTCTAATTGGCCAAAGACAAAACCTGAAAATTGACAGTATTATGTGCATCGGATTGTTACAGAACGTGGATTGTTATGTACATTGCTGGAGAGTGTTCAGTTAAAGGACTTACTTGTCTTTTGTTTAAGCTGCCCTTTATGCAACTAAAAACCATACACAAATCATTCAGCCAAAACCCACAACATGACATGTTTGTGCCATGGAGACAAAGCACTGTTGGTAATTAAATGGCATCTTCTTCTTTCTGTTTTTCCCTCTTCCCTCAATCTAGGCTTACATACCTAAAGAATATGCGGAGGCTTGTTTCACAGCTGTATGTGCGGGATAACTGCCACCCTTTCAAAGCCACTGTGTTGGTCTGGATTCAGCTTCCAATGTGGATTTTTATATCTGTTGCCCTCCGGAATTTTAGTCTGGGGGCAGCACATTCAGAAGGTAATTAATATATAACACTGTTTTCCCCCAATAAGTTTATAGCAAACTTTGTTGCTGCTAAAAGGGCAAGGAGGCCACATCTCCTGGCCTCCTCTAATCTCACAAGAAGAAGACAGAATCACCATCAGTAATCCAAGGCCTATTCCTGCGAGGCCAGACATGCCTTTTCCTCCACCCCTTTCACCAGCCGTTACTCCCAAAGCACCCACTGCCTCTCTCCTGGGTCCAATAATTTGCTGCAGTGGCCACACAGAACTCAGATTATAGGATTTATTAGGGAAGCACTAGGTTACAATTCAAGTTTAGGAAAAATGCTCAGTCTCTCTCCCAGCTCACAGTCTCTCTCCCAACAATGCGTGTCCCTCAGTGTCTCACTCAGCGTGTCTCTTGCGTCTCTTTCCCAGCAGTGCGTATCTCTTTCAGGAGCGTGTGTCTCTTTCAGCAGCACGTCTTCCTCAACCAGCAGTCAGAGAGAGACTTCTGCCTCTAGGAGGCCTCCTTTTGAGCCTGGCAGAGTGGCCAAACTAACCAATCATAACATTAGAATTCAAAGCACCTGAGAGAGAGCAGGAACCTCCCAGAACATTGCTTTGTGTTGCGCCGAACAGAAATACCCCAGGTGGATAACTTTTACAATCAGGAGCTCCTCAGTTGCTCACAGCAAATTCCACCACAGAGTTTACAAAGACTTATGGCTAGAAAAGCCACACTTAAGTAATTTTTACTACACCACAGTTGCCCATCGCCACCCAAAAAGTATACTTTTCATAATTAGAATACCTTCACTATTTTCCTTACAAGGGTTTAGGGTTTAAAGCATTGAATACAAACAAACTGTGTTGAGAAAAACAGGTGAATCTAGGAGAGACATCAGTAATACTACCCAGAGGCCATAATGAAGTTGAAATGCCACAATTTTTTTTTTTTAGCCAGTTTTTTTCTGTTTATAAAATTGAGAGACCAGAAAAGTTTTCCAAGTTGTAAATATTAATTAAGAAATGATATAAACTAAAGCATTTGGTTTTTTTTTTCCCCCTACAGCATTTAAAGACATGTCTAATTGAAGGTAATCTTGATAGACTTGAAAGAAAACAGCCTGTGGAAAAACAGTCATTGAAGTTTAAATCTGAAAAGTTTACTTCCACATATCTATGTTATCTATGTCCATTTGCTGCTGATAGTTCCTTGCATTTACTGAGTATAAGAAGGAATATTTATATTGTGGAATGAAAATAAGCTAAATAAAACCAATGCAGATCTTCAGTGTGAGGAACCCCTTATTGGAATTATTAAGACTTCTATTTCTTATATATTTCCCTCAGTTATTTTTAGGAATTCTGTTTTGTTTTCTTTTTTTATAACACTATTTCAGCAGGTTTTTCTGTTCAGGAGCAGTTAGCTACTGGTGGGCTTCTATGGTTTCCTGACCTTACTGCACTGGATTCCACTTGGATTCTGCCTGTGTCCATTGGTGTCATCAATTTATTAATAGTGGAGGTCAGTGGTTTAAATGATTAGAATTTTTCTTGTTGTATTTCATCAAAATACAGTGTGCTGGATTAAGACAGTACACACAAGTAACTAGGCCTTTTGTAATTTAGCCTTTTCCTATTCTTCCAACTTTATCTCATATGTATATACCTTACTCCTCACTTACAGACTATTTCATTATCTGACATTTCATATTTATGACAACAGTGAAAAATCTGTCTGACTACTCATAAGTGAGGAGTGAGTGTACTCTGGTTCCTGAGTTACATTAGGTCCTTCAGCAAATCAGAATTCCACATCCGTATGGCTGGACAACAACAAAAATCACTTGGCATTAACCCTGAGCTAGAATTGAAACACCTTAGTTTCTGGTCCCAAATTAGTCACTGACAAGCTGTCTGTGTCTTAGGCCAGACTAGGTCTAAAAATTCTCATTATTAAAATAAGAGAGCTGAATCAGACCCCTTACAAGGTTTCTTTCCGCTTTAATATTAGATGATTGTGAAATGTACACATTTGTGATTTACCTTAAAAAACAGTAATTAAGATGCTGGATCAAAATTTTATTCATTCAATATAGTGATGTTTTATGTATATGTGTAGTGTGTGAACTTGTAGGCAGGGAACCCATTCTCTACCTGACTACCATTTTTTTTTTCCTTTTTGTTTTTTTAGCTATATGACCTTAGAAAAGCCATTGACCTTCTCTGGAAGACAGAGGGGGAAAAAACACATACATGTAAAATATGACCTCTTAGTCATCTTACTATTATCCCATGATGCTTGATTCAAGAATAGTTGAGGGGAAGAATGCATATAATTCTCAGACTCCAAGTAGAACATAGACTCTCTGGATAAACCTTAGAAATGATTGGTCTTAGTTGAGATTTCACATACTGCATGTGTACTAGTTCTGTTTGGGAAATTTGATACGGAGTAGTACCTAAGGCATTTGACTGCTGCTAACCAGAAGGCTGGCGGTTCAAACCCACCAGCCACTTCTCAAAGTGAAGACTAAGCAATCTACTTCCATAGCGATAATGCCTCAGAAACCCAAGGTTTCCGCTGTGAGTCGGAATCGGCTTGACGGCAGTGAGCTGAGTTGAATTGAGTTCTTTAATATTTTAGCTGAGGAAGATGAATATGATAGAATCACAAGTTTTGGGTGAAAGTTTCTTAAAGATAGAATCCGTGTTTAAATATATTTTCCTGGTGCATAGTCCTGTGGACAAGGTTGGTCCTCAGTGAATATTTGTTAGAAGGAAGGAAGAGACAAATACAAGGTCACGATGAATTAATGGTAGAGGTAGGACTAGTAGTCAGTCCTCTAGTATATCCCTGTATTACTCTGCCATCCAGGAACTCAGCATAATGATAGCTTACTCTTATGGAACTATGTGTCAGGCACTTTTATAATCAATTTATATGAATCAGCTCTTACTTCTTAAGCAAAAAGTACTATAGTCCTGTTTTATGATGGAGAAAGTAAGGCACAGAAAGGTTAAATAACTTGCCCAGTGTCACATAGCTACTAAATGCAGAGTTACCATGTGAACCTGGGAGCTCTGGTAGCATAGTGCCTAAGGCACTTGACTGCTAACCAGAAGGCTGGCAGTTTAAACCCACCAGCCACTCCTCGGAAGGAAGATGGAGAAATCTACTTCCGTAGTCATATTGCCTCGGCAACCCAAGGAGGGGTCGCTATGAGTTGGGTCCGACTTGATGACACATAACAACAACAACAACATGTGAACCTAGGTAGTTTCACTCTAGAGCCCATGCTCTTAATCATTACACTATGCTACCTCTTTTATAAGTAATTCATAAATCATAACTGCTTTTCCTAGCATTGGTTCTTTTTTCCATGTAACTGGATCATAAACCTTTGAGATATCGAGCCCCTTCTCTATTCCAGGTACTTTAGTTTAGTGCCAGAAAACAAGGGTAATGATTCAAACCCAGTATTTATATTCAAGAAGTTTCAGTCATAATGGACGATCTTTGAAAATGTTGACTTCTAAAAATTATACTTTGATTCTTTTTTTATATAATTCAGTTTCTTTATTGCTATTAATAAAGCTCCATTTGAGAATTTTATTATTTAAAAGGATAGGTGATGAACCATATAAATTCACCAATGTTTTTATTTATTTATTTATTAAACTTCTGTTGAAGTATAGGTGGAGGCTAATGAAGTCAGTTTGTATGTCTAATTGACTATTCATTTTAATAATCATTGTTTATGTGTATGTTCTATCCCTTCAGATTTTTGCTCTGCAGAAAATTGGAATGTCTCGTTTTCAGAAGTATGTTACATACTTTGTCCGTGGAATATCAGTGTTGATGATTCCAGTTGCTGCAACAGTACCCTCAGTGAGTAAGCACCAGCATTGTCTTTGCTGTTAAGTGAGTTCCAACTAATAGTGACTCTCTGTACAACAGTACAAAACAATGCCCAGTTTTGTGCATCCTCACAATCATTAACGATGCTTTAATCCATCGTTGCAGCTACTGTGTCAGTCTATCTCATGGAGAGCCTGCACTTTTCAAGGAGTCTTGCCAGGTGTCCCACCAAAAACTTGTGCTTACATCTTAATTCCATGCCCCCACCCAGTTGCAGGGGAGCTCTGCTAGCTTAGTGCCTAAGGCACTTGACTACTAACCAGAAGGCTGGCGGTTCAAACCCACCAGCCACTCCTCGGAAGGAAG